CTAAAGCTTAGACATATCATACGTGTATACGTGTATTTGGAAAATCGAATGATCCTAGATAAACAAATCTAATAAGGAATGAACATAATTCAAAATTTCTTTTTTACATTTAAATCATATATCGTAACAATTCTTTACGACGTTTTTATCTACACGTATTTCCGATATCTTATTAGACTTTTAAATTGGAAGTAGGAGGAAGAAGACGAAGAAGGAAGAAGAAAAAGAAAGGGGAGAAAAAGAAAAGAAGATAAATAAGAATCTCTCGTAGAGTAGAAACGTCAAAACTTCGATATTATTGACCGTAATGTAAAATCAAGAATCTGACGTCCTTTCATTTTTATCTTGCAAATATAACGAGCCTTGTCGATCGTCGATCATCGATTAAATCTTTATTTGCATAATATATATACGTGGATATATTTGACATATCATCATACGTACAGTTACGTCATTTCTAATACGATAGATTTTAAATAGTGTGAATGAGACACGCTTTCAAGATTATCAATAAGGATTTTTTTTTTTTAATCTACTCAAACATTTAACTTTTGATTAAAATTTTAAGTAAATCTTCGAAACTTTTTGAAATAAGTTCTACGCCGATTATATATATAATAAAGCTGTTTAATGGAAAAATGGTGTAAGTTAGAAATAAAAAAAGAAAAAAAGAAAAAGAAAAAAGAGAAAGAAAAAAATATTGATTAATGAGTAACGAACAGGGAACGAAATAACAAGAGTTATATAAAATCTAGTAATATCGGAAGAATGTTACATATATATATTATGCAATCCCACATTAAAGTTATATCTTAAGATAATAATATCGCTTTCACTCGAATATCATGACACATAATTGCAATTAACAATAAACAAATTTTGACTCGTATCAATTTTTGCATTGAACTTTTATTATCATACGGTTCTTATTTGTCTATAACAATTTTAGCATAATTACTGAATGAAGTTAAAATTATACAATTACCGTGGAGAAATAGAATGAGATAGATTAATGCATTCGAGATGTTATCCCAGTGAGCGAAATAATCGAAACATTGACATGCATCAATCTTGCACTGAATTTTTTTTTTTTCTATCTTGTGTTTTCTTTTTTCTTTTTCTTTTTTAATTCATCTAAAAAAAAAAAGGAATTCAAAGTTGGCGCGTTTGGAAAAAGAAATGGACGATAAAAGGAGATTCTCAGATCTCGCGAAGTTTTTATCTGTTCGTTTCGTAGAATTGATAATGATGCAGAAGCAAAAAAAATTTCTCGCTTTCGATCGTTCATTCGTTGCAACAGTGCTCCGAAATGATCTTGGAACTTTCGAGGATGAAATCATGACAAAGATAAATACATACATACATACATATATATATATATATATATATATATATATATATATATATGTACATGTGATTTTGTTCGAAAAATGAGATTATAACTCATTGTACCGGTGAGGGCCTGGCAAACATGAATGTAACACAATTTGTCCGATTATCACAACCAGCCTAAGAAAAGGAAAGATGGCACCTGGATTTGTGTTGTCTTGTTCTCTCCTCTCGAACGAAAAATACCGGTTCGCAAACGAGTTTCGTTATCTTACACCTTTTTTGTATGAAAAATAGAAGGAGAAGAGTGTTTATAAAGAATCCTGGGTATTCTTAAATCGAGAAAGTCCATCAAAAGTCATCTCCATATCGTTTTCATCGTCCTTTCATCGAATACGTTTCAATTATCTCGTAGAAATGACTATTCTTTTCTATTGAAAGCGATAGAAAGAATAGTCGAAAAAATAAATCGTATAAGTAAATGTAACTGAATCCATTTCAAGTTCCTTTTAATGCGAATATGATAATGAAAAGATTATAAAAAGAATTTTTATCGGTTCCTTTTTTTTACGCCTGCTTCTTCTTTAAACGATCGTTTCTTCAAAGTAGATTTGTAAAAATTGTTTGCTCGTTATTTGTACCTTGTGCTTTTGCGAGAGAGAGAGAGAGAGAGAGAGAGAGAGAGAGAGAGAGAGAGAGAGAGAGAAAGAGAGAAAAAAGTAGGTCGTTTTGTTAGCTCTTTCCCTCCACTCTTCTTTATCTTCTTAAGAAGGTTACAAGTGTTAAGGGTACAGACAGACAGACAGAGAGTGAGAGAAAGAGAGAGAGAGAGAGAGAGAGATGCGTGATTCATTAACGTCATTTTGTGAAACGAGCGAAAGAGTACATCTAATTAGCATATTCTGTATTAAGTCAATTTGAAGGAAAATATTAAGGTCGTATACGTGCCGAGACTCTTACCGTTACGATTTCCAGCTAACACGATACGTTAAGATGTCGTAGGGTTAGATGACGACGACAATGACAACGTTTAACGAGGTCCTTTTCTATGCAAACTCCAGAGAGAAAGAGAGAGAGAGAGAGAGGGAGAGAGAATAAAAAAGAAAAGAACTTACACTTACTGCACTGACCTAATTTTATATTGAAACAATAGTACGAGTACTTGTTTCTTTAATATTTTATGAAAATTGCTAGTCGAATATCTTATTTTATGTATTATCTTTATAATCTTGTTCTTTTTTATTACTTCATGGTATTCGTTGGATTAAGAAAATGTATCGCGGGATCATATCTTAATCATAAAGTAAAAGTAGAAATAAGTATAGTATACAGTAATAACATAGACGTATATATAAATACTGGCATATGCATATACATGAGTATATATATATATATATATATATATATACTTAGATGCACACATAGATATTTTTAATTTATTGCTTGATAGTTGATCGTTTTTCAGTTCATAAGTAAAATTACGTACGAACGAGTATCATATATATATATATATATATATATATATATATATATATATATATATATATATATTAAATATTTCTAATTAACTCGCTTTTACGTTTTTGAATTTTAGAAAAGTGGTAGTTCTTGCGTAGTGAGAGACCTTCGTAAATACTTACACGATTTATCTCGACTTACACCGTAACACTGTTAGAAGAGTGAGAGGGTATTATACGCACGAAATGATGACTGTAATTTAATCATTCCCGTGGTCATCTAGTATAACATCATAAGCAACGAGAATAATTAAAAGGCAACTATTTTTTCAACGTTGAGAAGATCCCAAATGAACGTGAATAAGAAAATAGCTCACGTGTATCTAATGTATTTATGTGATAAGAAATGTGCTGCGAAGAACGTCTAGTTCTTATACGTACGTATGTATTTTACGAATAAGAAAAAAAAAAAAAGAAGAAAAAGAAAAAAAAGAAGAAGAAAAAGAAAAAAAGAAGAAGAAAAAGAAGAGAAAAAAGAGAGAAATTTTCTCAATACTTAACAATAAAATTATACTTCGTGTTATATCTTTCGTTACGGAAATAAATGTCGAAATTGTAATCTGTAGAAAAGAGGATAAACGAATGAACGAATGTTCGAGCGGTGTTTAAGCGTGTGGAATCTAATATCTAATATCCTTAGTTTAGAGATCGGAGGGTCACACGCGAATCGCCGGATATCCGTCACGCCGTAACGCGTCCAATGGCGTTTGCGTCGCGTGTCTAGTTAGAAATACTTTGAGAAGATTAAAAAAAAAAAAAAAAGAGAAAAGAAAGAAAAAAACAGATGGAGAGAAAGAATTTACGAAATTATCATTTGAGATTTTTACGTGATTTTAATCGTCTTTTGTGATATATAATTAGGATATATACATATGTATGTATATTGTATATAAGGATATAATATTGTGGATAGTATAATGAATTTTTATTCGTAAAATTTATGGAAAATTATTTAAATTAAGGATAATCCATAAATTTAAATAGATAAATATGTAAAGATAATAGATAATAATAAATATAATATTATATATACATTCATAGATATTTTTATATTACATATTTATAATTAAAAATTAATAAGGAAATGAAATGATGAAACGAAAGAATAAGGAATAGTTTTTCACGGAACATATTAACAAAATTATTTAAATCCATTGATGATAAATTTTATTCAAAGTTTATTAGAATGTTGCTGTACGCAAAAATTGAAAAATGAATGGAAAGAAGTAAAATAAAATCGACGAAGTAAACGAAACAATTTTCAAAGAACGTATAAAAGAAATTAATTGAATTCATCGGCGATAAATTTTATTCAAAGTTTGGTCAAAATCTTTGCTTATACGTGAAACGTGAAAAATAAAAATAAGAGAGAAAGAAAAATAAATCGATTAAGAGTGGTAACAATTTTAAAGGAACGTATCAACGATATTAACTGAACGTGTTGATAATAAATTCCAATAAAAATTTCTTGAGAATTCCCTGGGCGTGCATATATACATACATATATACACGGAAGGAATTTCAACGATGAAAAATATGAAAATAAAGATATATATATATAGATAGATGGATAGATAGAAAGATAGATAGATAGATAGATAGATAGATAGATAGATATATACATACATACATATAAACATAGATATGTACATACATACATACATAAATGAATAAACGAAGTAAAGGAAAAATAATCTTTCTTTTCTCTAAATTTTTATGAAAACGTTATTTCTCTTTTCACCCTTTGGCATAATGTGTTAAAGTGTAACCTATGTACATACATACATACATAAATAAATACATGTACCTGCATATATACATGATATATATACAAAATGGATGATGGCACCGAGCATAATATATACGTCGCATTTCACAAAGTAGAACGCGTCTTTGTTTCGTGCGATATTCCGTCGTTCATACGGCACATCGTAGAATTGGAAGAAGCGCATTATGCATCTGGGAATTGGGAGCATTGCGTTCCTACATTAAAGTTTTTCGCATGTCTTCTTATCCTTCGTCATCGTCGTTGTCGTCGTCGTCGTCGTCGTCGTCGTCGTTGTCGTCGTCGTATAAACGAACTCGATTTTCATGTGTATCTGTATATGTATGTATGTGGGTATATACCCTACGTAGATATATACACGTGTATCTATACTCATGCTTTAACTCGTTTGAGTGTGTGTGTGTGCGTGTGGGTGTCAATGTTGGAAGCATCTGCTAGCATTTTTTTTTACGTAACAATTCCTCTTTCCGGTTTTCCTGAGAAGATTCGTACGTATTTACTTATATACTGTATATGTGTATACACACACACACACACATATATAGAAAGAGAGAGAGAGAAAGAAAGAGAGGAAAGAGAAGATAATAAGAAATTGTAAAAGTCATTGTTCGTGAAATCCATATTCGTGCAAATTTTTTTTATCGACGGATGAAACATTGTTGTCGTTTATGCATTAAAGAAATAATAATGGAAAAAAGGAAAAGAGAATGTAACATAGTGTTTAACGAAACGCGAATGAGTGAAGTACGTTAAACCGAGTTCATAATTGAATGATAGTTTCCCAGGTTAAAGGTTAATTGGACATTCGGTTGAAAATGAACTTTATCAACGGAATACCGAGAGATCACGTAGAGTTAGCTCCATCGAGTGAGTTTATTTGCAACACGGACGACACGACGGGTGGGATGTGAGATGGGTGAATAAAAATGGTGAAGAGAGACGACGAGCGAAAGAGAGTACTCGTAATTATCGGTACTTCGAAGTTGATGAGATGATTGGTTGTCACATTAAAACGATGCGTGGGAGGATCAGAGTGCCCCTGCACCGGGGATCGCAACACACATATATCACAGGGGCCAAAGCCCTCGATCGAGCTGTCTTTTTATTCTTTCTTTCTTTCTTTTTTTACCTCTCAGTTTTAGTTGTTTATTTATTTATTTATTTATTTATTTATTTATTTATTCTTTTTGTCTTCTCCAAACACGCGACAATGTTTCACTTGGTTGCATGAACATATTTTTTCTTTTCCCCACCCATCTTTTTTTATGTACACATTTGATTACGTTGTAAGGAAGTATTGGAAAATCTTTAACGTTTAAACGATACGTGCAAATAGATCCAGTTTCTCTTTAACTAAATTAAATAAGAAGTTTTACGTAAGATGGTCTACTTGTTTAAACAAGGTGTCAATGTGTGAGATTCGTTCGTAATGCAATTAAATTTGCCATATAATGAAAGCACTTAATCGTACGTTTCCATTTTGAAGAACCATGTTTTGCCGTCCAGGCACATTTTCTTTTGTGCTCAGTGCTAAGTTACATTTTCAATGTGACGTGTTTTATATGTATGTACTTACATACCTACATATGTATATATATGTATATATATACTTAAGTAGAAAGTGCCGATGTGAATTTTTGTACTCTTTTTTTGCCATTCGCAGAGTCGAAAGATATTCCGGGTAAAGTGTTTTCCTTTGAAAAGAACGTGTCGTTAGTACTCAATGTATAGCGTTGACGAGGACTCATGTCATCCAAAATAGATGCCTATATGCACATATGTATACATAGGTATACATATGTTATGTCATATTCTTGACGACTACTACGTAGCAATCACGTCTCCGTCTCACCTTCATTATCGCCGAGAGAGATGCATCCCGGGGTGCATCTATTCATCGTGTATGCGTAATTAGAAAAGCGTTGACGAGATTAGACTGTACTTCCGTGCTCTTCTTTTTTTCTTTTCTCTCTCTTTTTTTTTTTTGTTTTTTGTTTCTTTTCCCATAGCAATCACGTCACGTGATTATATGAAACTACGTCCATCCCCATGACACATCTCGAAGTCAAAATCCATAGAAAAATAGACGTAAAATTTGAACGAGAAATAATTCCAATTTAATCGTAATCGATTGCAAAATGGCGATTGAAAATGAATTCAATGGAGCCTAGTTTGATCCTTTCACTCGGTCTTCAGAATAATGTGGATTATCGCGATAACGGATAATTTCAAATATTCGACACCTTTTTTTCAATGCTCGTTTGAACGTTGAATGAAGGCTACCTAAAAAAAAAAAAAAGAAGATTCTCCGACAGGTGTTCGACGTTTCCTTTTTTTGTCAGAACAATTATACGAGGTAACGAAGTCGATAAATATATATATATATATACAGCGAAAGAGAAGAGAGCTAGCTCGGTTCTTCTTATACGTCGTTGTCTCGTCGGCGCTGGAATATGTAAATTTTATAGATACCCTTGAAGAAATAACGGCGAGGTATGCTATTATTTATTTTGATATAGCTTCTCCTGCTGCTATTGCTACTGCTGTTGCTGTTGTTGCTGACGCTGGTGTCTCATTATATGGAATAGATGAAAAAAAATTATTCGCGAGCTATGCAGACAGATTCCTAAGAGTAAACTTGTTATACCAAGCTATCGAAGGAGTGGTGGGCCCACAAGATATAATATTTAACGTTCACATGCTGTTGGATGAAATGTGTCTCTTATATATCGTTCGCATAAAGAAGGGACTATGTCGTATATGTATGCTGCTACTGCTGCTTCGTGAAACTCGATAGGGATCACATATGACAGGGATCGTTCGTACATAGTGACCTTATAAGTGTTCTCTAAGTGGCATTTGTGAAACCATTATGTCATCCTCTTTTACATACACATCATCAAATTTGTCGTAATAACGACAACAATACTTTATTCGTAAATGTTTAGCAATAAGAAAAGGAATACTGATAAAAATCTATTTAAAATTTTTAAAGATCATTCAATGATATCGGGTAGACTCGACACAAGATGATATCGCCTATTTATATATTATATTTGTTATTATTTAAATTTTATCGTATCGTATTGTATCGAGAAGATAAAAAAAAAACAAAATGATTTACTTTTATGTTACAGACTAAAACGGATGCCGATGTCATAAGAATGATGTCTTACATCCTGATCATTGCCGGTGCCCTCACGTTCATCGTTAGCTTTTTAGGATATTGCGGAGCAATGTTCGAATCTAGATGTCTCCTCTGTGTCGTAAGTCCGTAATACATAATTAAGATTGAAATTATACGTATTACATTCTATATTTAGATAATTCGTTAAGAATGCCGTATAAGAGAAATATTTTTCTCTGATTGCAGTACGGCGTCCTTCTTTTATTGGTTTTGGTCCTGGAATCTGTGGTGGTTGGCCTTGCGTTTGGACTAAAAGGAGACGTGCGTATATATATATATATATACATATACATATACATACATATATATATATATGTATATATATATGTATATGGAGAACTTCTACGATAGAAAACAGTTATATTTGCTTAAAGCAATTCCAATGTTGGACAGTTTGTAGAGTCGTGAAAGTTCTTTGAAAAGATACGACGCTCTCTATATTGAATATTCCTTTGGTATCTTTTATTTGAATTTCATTGGATCGTATTGAACGTTATTTAATTTTATACGATGTAATAATTTATTACAATTGTATAATATACGTAGCGACGATTATTAATACCAAGATAACAATGTATAGGCGGAAAAGGGTACACAAAGTTTTCTGAAGTCAACGATCAAGTATTACGCAGCTAGCGTGGATCAAACTGAAACCGTGACAGTCGCGTGGGATGGTATTATGACCCAGGTATTTGTTATATCTTATTTGTATTAGAAAGAGAACGACTATTGTCAAAGATGAATATAATAAATCGCGATCGTTTGCAGCTCCATTGTTGCGGTGTTGAAAGTTATTTGGATTTTCACGAAAGCACAAATTGGACGACGACCAATAAAGTGGTACCGGAATCTTGTTGCATAAAAGAGAACGGCGAATTGAAGGATCGTTCCTGTCCTCTCAATCCTACGTCATCGAATTCTTATTATCAAACGGTAAACGCAAAAATGACGCATTGAACAAATGTTGACAATTAGATTTTATCTTTATGAACGAGTAAATGTTAGAAAAGAAATAACGTTCTTTCAGGGTTGTTACAAAGCGATATTAACCGCGATAGAAGAAAACGCCGTAATAGTTATAGGAGTTGCAGCTGGTTTGGCCTTGGTCGAAATTCTGGTTATTATATTGGCCCTATACCTGGCATGTATCTACTGGCGTCCGCAACATGGTAGGCTCGATGTTTAACTTGTATTTTTAATCGTTAGTATTAACGAACTTGATGTTCGTTGAATGACATCGGCCATGCGGAAGTGCAGTTCTATCGATTGCCGGTAAAAAAAAAAACGTGATCACTTTAACGCTTTGCAGTTTATCGATGCGTAGAGCCGTCTGGCAAGGAGTAACTTCGGCAGCAGAACGTTAAGCTTTCCTTTTTTTCCTTTGAGGAGCTCATGATTGCCTCCTGTGTATATACATGGCTTTTGTTTCCCATGCGGTGGTAATACAATTCTACCATCGACTACCATCGTATTACATCTTGCACCATTGTGTTGCAATGTGCATCGAATATATTTAATGCAACGACAATTCTCCGACGATTCGCATGACGAGATGTATATTTGCTACATTGTTCATTTCAATGTGGGAGAATATTGAATATGATATATTTCTATCATTATACCTGTATGCCAAATTAATCGCGCAACGTTTTCCATAAAAATCGTTTATGCATTCTCTATGGAATATCCATAAATGATTTCAACAATATTTTTACACGAGTTCTCTCTCTCTCTCTCTCTCATATATATATATATATATATATATATATATATATATATATATATGTATATATATATATATGTATATGTATATGTATGTATGTATATTATTCACGATAGACAATATATTCCATACAGTTACTACTCCATTCTATACGTGATATTCGTCGAGAGACTTTTGCGAATTAAAACAATTTATATACATTTTTTCTATAACTCCTTTTGAAGAACATTAGATGCTTTGAGCGCCAACGTAGAGAACTTAGGTATTACGCGATTATTTTATATGTATTTTTTTAAATAAATAATATACTTTTATATATAAAATGTCAAAGAGAAATAATCTTAAATTGATACGTGACCATCCATTTTTGCATGAAACACTTTTACACAATTAACCAAAAAAAGAAAAAAGAAAAAGAAACATTGCTATTTCTTAAATCTATTTTTATTATACACGTGGGTATAATATGATTAATTAATTGATGCCGCTATATTATTATATTATGCATCATTAACATTTAACAGTTAACAAAATTCCTCTCTAATTTTATACATAGAGTTTAATGCGGTAGTAAACATTTACAGAAAACGAACATTCTTTTAGCTTGCGTAGATGTATCAACAAGACAAGCCTGGTGAGAGAAGTGGTGAGATGGGGGATGTGATGGTTTGGTGAAATTTGGTTTCAAGTAAGAAGTGGTGAAGATATTGATTGAACAATTGACTCCTTTCCATGCCTCTTCTTTAAACAATGTCGAATCTGTTGCCAATTTTCTAATTCTTATATTATTTTTTTTATGTATATTTTTCTTAAGGCATGATATAGCTTTGCTTCATATCTTTGCATGATCATGCTATAATCAACTATACCAAAGTGGTGATAGAGGCCTGATTGCATTGAAAAAATAATTAGACGAATGACTATTTCCTTTGATATGCTTAGTCACATTTAAAATTAATCATACCAATTAAATAATTATGCAATCATGCCTTGGGTTTCAGTTATGGTTCAAATGTAATTTACTATTTTTCATTCGATACGTATTATGTATCTCTTTGATATTTCTTAGCACAAATTACCAAGTAAACTGTATGTATAATATCTAATTAAATAATTTTTATAACAGATAAGTATTATTACAAAGAAAATGACATCTCTTTAATCATGCATATATTTAAAAGTTTATAGTATATTTTATATATTTTAGTATTCACGATCTTTTTGTTTAAAGTAAAATATTGTTTTTTATCAGAGATTATATTTAAATATAGCGAATACATATAAATACTAAACCACGTATTAAATACAATATAGACGATACATGAAAAAAATATATATATGTACAATATATATATATATATATATATATATATATATATATATATATTCTTTTTGAAATTATTATTATTATAGTAGGTGATAGTTTTAATTGTATTAAGAAAATAACAAAAGTTACTGCCTATTTTTCTATCTATTAAAATGTTACAAGATAATTCAACCAAAGTGATCAATTTCTCAACCATTCAGATATATCTATTTCAAAAGTAAATATATACTAATATAAAAGTCTACACTTTTTGTATTGATAATTTGTGCTAGTATATCCTTATTATTTTAACCATATTATATAAATTATATGTATGTATACTATAAAAAGCTATAAATACATAAGAGTATATATATAGAAAAAAAAAGAAATCATAAATTAAATTAAAAGAAAAAAAAATGTTCTCTGTAGTAATCTGACGAAAAATTTGTGTGAATTTACATAAAATGATATTCTTTATAATTCAGTTTTCCCAGTTATATTTATGATTTCAATGGCACATTAATGTATTTTATGAAATGGGTATACGTACATAAAATTGTAATACTAAGTCAACATAAATCTTTCAAAAAATGCACTTTCTACATACTAATAATAGTTCATATCGCACACTCTAAGCATTTTCGTTTCCAGTGTTAACTTGTTGGTGCTGCTGCTGACGAGGCATTAAGGGCATGGAACTGTTGAGTAGTGCCTCCTAGCATACGCACGTTGAGCCATTAGAAGTCCTGTGCCTTGCTTGCTTGAAACGTTAGGTACTAGCCAGATTTAGGCTAGTCTAAACGTCGGCTGACAGAAATGAATCCTGATTGTAGAATGACCACAGATATTTGTCAAATCATACTTAACAGTGATGTAGGAGATTGATCATACTATATTTATTTTTATAACGGCAAATCACAAATGACATCTAGATTTGTTTCATAATACAAAAGAAAATAAGTAAAAAACATCATATATGTATCTTAGATTTGATAAGTTCTTGTAAATTTTTTTTTTTAAATTGCGAAGTACAAAATATTATATCATTTCTTAAGATACTACACATTTACAAAAATTAATGTGTATGTATATATATATATATATATCTTTTTTTTCTTTTTCATTAAAAAACTCCTATATCACTGTATATTATTATCATTTTATATGTTGTTAATTGTTTAATAATTATTAGTATACAAACATTTAAAATCATTTATCAAGAAGTGTAATATAATAATGTAATCACAGCAATCATTCATCCTGATGCAGGAAATTATTGGATGATATTGTTTTTCAAAAAGAAAAAAATTTAAGAGAAAAATAGAAATTAATTTATATGAAGATTTTAAGTGTATGTATCTAAAACGTTATAGCCTTTATTATGTTGCTTTGCCTATTTTGAGATTATTTCAAATGTTCATGTATTGAAAAGAAAATGTTTAAGTGTACAGTAGTCAGTTCATTGCATTTAGGCAGGTTTTTTCATTTCATCCATACTAATTTTTCATTTCTAACAATATGAACACGTTTCCAAAAAAAAAAAAAAAAAAAAAATAAAAAGAAAAGAGTAATATGTAAAAATTATTGAAAACATTATAATCTATCTATGTAGTGCTTATATCTTTATACCTCCTGCCAAACTTCCATAAAGAAAAAAAAAAAAATAAATAAATGTACATCTTATCTGAAGGTAAGCACCAAGAAAAGTAAAGAGAAAAGAAATTATAGATACACTTATGTGAAAACAATTTATGAATATTACTATTCACTTTAACTTCAAGAAAAGTATAAACATACTTTGATGTATTTAAAAGTGTGTATGTTTAATTCAGAAGTATTTACAAATTTATATAATTACAAGACAGTGATCTGTATTCAATTAGTGAATAGTAGTACCTGGTAGAAAAATTAGAGAATAGATATATTTGATTGATTTTATTAAACATCTCATTTAATTCTAATACCTTTGACAGAAGCAAGTTACACTAATGTTCTTAAAAAAAGTTTATAAGAACAATATGTGATCTTCCTTTTATACTTAATATTGTAATCTTATTATATGTAATACATATATGTATATATATATATATATATATATATATATATATATATATTTATTATATTTAACAAAATTACTTGCAAAGAAACTACTTTGAATTTTTTGATAAAAAATATCGAGTATAATAGGAGGACCATTTTTATGTCAATACTATAAATCGTATTATTTACTATACAGGTTTTGTTTTTATAATGTATAGTTGATTTAAATAATTGAAAACACATTTCTTGCATGTTGTAAACTATAAATATTTTTATTTATTTCTATATATATTTCATTGTATTTGTTCAATCTTTTTATAAGTATGTAAAAAAAGAATATATATATATATATATATATATATTACCATTTCGTTATCTTACACGTGAAATATAATAATTTATGGTCTCAGAATAATACTAAATTTTTATCTTTCCTTTTTATATCAAGGAGAGAAATCAAAACTTAATAAGATAAATACTTAAATGAATGTTGGATGTTACATTACTTGATATAGAATTATATATCTACATTTGTCAAATTAAAATAATTATTATTATGTATAAACATCTTTAAAATAATATAAAGAGAGAATCATATAAAATGGAAAACAATTTTCTGCTTATGACAGAATAAAATCATAATATTAATATTTTTGTTAGGTACATTATAATTAATTTGTATTTATATAAATTTTTTAATGTATACCAATTCCTTTATTTTTGTTTAAAAGAACATTGAAAAAAAATCTTGATACTATCAGAATAAGGAGAAATATGGTCTAAAAAAAAAAAAACCTATATACAATGAAATGCATTCAAATTTTTCTATGCTGAGACTGATACCTGATATCTAAAATTGTATATATATATTTGAAAAGCAGTAACTGATATAAATGTATTATCATGCGTAATTATATAATAATATCTTATTAATACTATACTGTTATGTGCAATTATAATAAAATGATTGATTTATTAAATAAAACGTTTTTGTATAAAAAAAAAAGAAAAAAAAGAAAAGAAAAGAAAACTGTATACATAATAATAAAATAAAATTTTTATATCATTTATAAATGTGAGATACAAATATTTAGTTGGCCAAAAGAAATTATCGTGTTTTTGAATACAACACGTATGATGTTCTTAATTTTTAACAAATTTATTATTACAGCATTCCATACAGCATTCCCGTATTCTGCACTCTCGAAATTGGACGGAACATTTAATTAAGGCTATTCATCACCCCTGGTTTTATAATGATATACATTAATATTGAAGGCATGACTATTTCAAATTTTTGAAAAAGTTTTATTTTCTTTGAAAAAAAAATCGTCTTAAGAATAATGTTCCTTGGAGAATAATTTATGCATAAAAATTAAGCTTTTTCAAAAATTCGAAAAAGCTATGACCTCGTTTAAACCCTCATCTTTAAAGTGAAATCCTAATCATCAAAATCATTCAAGAAGTACGCTTGAATTCGCTGTTGGCGCAAATTTCGCAATTTTCGACATTTTTCGTAAAAAACATTTTGGTACAGTGGCGCCCCTTGAATTTTGCGGCAGAAGAGAAGAAGCTCGTACCACCCACTAGTGGTTTACATATAAGGCTATTCAATTTTGATAAACAAGGTCTCATTTGTAAAGGCGAAGGTTTAATCTAGAAAATATGTTTTCGAATTTCTGAAAAAGCTTTATTTTCTTTAAAAAAAAGTCATGCAAAGAAATGGTATTATTCGTAAATAATTTATGTACAAATAAAAAGCTTTATCAAAAATTCGGAAAAGCTATGTCCTAGATAAAACCTTCGTCTTTGAAATAAGACTTTGTCCATCAAAATTGAACAAGACTTACGTCTGTTCTCATTATTGGAGTATATGCTGTTTTTGACATTATTACGTAAAAAAAGTTTTTCTAATGTATTGTGGCGCCTCTTGAAGATAGCGGCAAAAAAGAAGAAATTTGTACCCTCATTACTTATTCCAATATCACCCTTCAATAGGGTATGTTTGTTCAGTGAAGTAACAATTACCTGCTTGATTGATATGTAAATAGAGAATTTTTAAACAATGATGAGATTTTTTAAACAATTCTCAACGCAAAAAAATATGTTTCACGATAATCGCACAAAACAATCTCTAGTAACTTGGTCATTCTTTGGACAAATGGTTCTTTGGGAAAAATAAACAAATTCTTGTCCAATGTCACCAAAATTGTTATGCGTGAAAAACTTAAAATAATTTCAATATAGGATTCCAATATTTAAAAATTTCGTTCTCGGAATAATTGGCCTTGTGTAATCAAAACATATTCGGTCCTTTCATTAACTTTGACTATTGCAAGATCAGTTGTATTTTGCATACCGACGTGTTAACATCGACACTCGCTCTTTCTAAACGCGTAAACTTATAAATGAATACTTTCGATAATTTTTCAATTATTCAAACAATCTTTAATGCATACGGAGTACAATAAACTAATATTTAAACAATAGCACATTCGTTTAAACATTCTTAAGCAGAAAACGGTCCAGAAACTTAAAATAATTTTAATATAAAATTCCAAAAGATAAAAATTTTATCTCGCGGTTGTTGGCCTTGTGCAATATAAACATAAACGGCCCTTCGATTAAATTTGACAATTACCGAGTTAGTTTATCTTTGCACTTCGACCAGTGAACATCGACACTCGTTCTTTCTAAACGCATAAACTTATAAATTAATACTTTCGATATTTTTTCAACTATTTAAACAATCTTTAATGCATACGGAGCACAATGAACTAATATTTAAACAATAATGCATT